GCGAGGAATTCTGGAACGTGAGTATACTGCGTATAAACACCATCACCAGGCTCAACCAATACTGTTTAAGTAACAAGTCATATCAATACAGGAAATCATGACATTACAACATTCAACACAATATGGCTGGCACAAGAGATCAGCATTATTATCCCAACAAGAAAGTGTTAGTACATCAACATATCAAACTTGATGTTTCATTACATCAACATATCAAACGTGATGTTTCATTACATCAACATATCAAACGTGATGTTTCATTACATCAACATATCAAACTTGATGTTTCATTACATCAACATATCAAACTTGATGTTTCATTACATCAACATATCAAACTTGATGTTTCATTACATCAACATATCAAACTTGATGTTTCATTACATCAACATATCAAACTTGATGTTTCTTTACATCAACATATCAAACTTGATGTTTCTTTACATCAACATATCAAACTTGATGTTTCAGTATATCAACAAGCTGGATGTTAGATGACATAATTTCAGACTGAATATTTTATTACACCAACTTCTTAAGCTGGATGTTTAATCACATCACCATCTCAGACGAATATTTTATTATATCAACATCTCAGACTGAATGTTTTATTACACTAACTTCTTAAGCTGGAAGTTTAATCACATCACCATCTTAGACTAATATTTTATTATATCAACATCTCAGACTGAATGTTTTATTACATCAACTTCTTTAGCTGGATATTTCATGACATCAACCCAAGATTCCTGAGTCTACACCCCTGATTTGTGCAGCTGACAGTCAAGGATCTTCCTGACTAGGATATAAAGCCATCTGCCTAGCTCACTTGAAACTTGTGGGTCCACAGACTGTTTTGTTCGTTTCACGAGTCAATGTTTTTTTTAAGGAGATCCCTTGGGATTGTTTCTGAACTACAGAGTTCATTCTTTGTGCGCACTTTTAACAGGAGGCTGGCCATTCTGAAGTAAGAGACTGAATCATATAGGTAACATATGGCACAATGAAGTCAATCAAGCATCTTTCATTGTAAGATTCTTTCTATTTAGGTTTATACCACGGATCAACATCATGGCACAAGGGGTAACCCATAAGCGCTCCGTTCTACTTCTGACTCAAGCCTGAGTCTGAAGAATCTCAGCGCAGTGCACAAACTCTACAGCACCGGCAAGGATCCTGAAATACTTCAGGTAGAATTTTAACTCTAAATTTTGCCCAGGCAGTGTCCTTAGGCTCCTCTTTTCGATTTCCAATGACTGTCTGGTACACTCTCCGGTTATGACACTCTGTAATGCCTAAAACTTCCATTTCACCCAAAAACAATAAAATATTATGATTAATGTTGTGTTATTTGGACTAACAATAACTGACAAGATAAACCTTAGAAACTAACCTGGCATAACCAGCATTATAACGAACACAGAAATGGCAAGCCAAACTCGCCTTTTTCACAAACCAAAGTGACCCTAGTGTACAACCCACACTAAGAGTGACAAACTGGTACATGCACAACTAACATCATAAAAAAAAGTAAGATAAGCAGATCACTGCTAGCCAGTTATAGAACATGGTTCACACTTCACACCTTTGCACACAACCCAAATATAGTCAATAATACATAAAAGTCAATGTAAACCCTCATTGAATACATGAACAGCAAAGATCACCAGTATGATAAACAAAATCTCATCAATGTATATGATGGAAGGTGATCAATAAAACAATGTCCTTGTGTTATGTACAAAGATGGGCAGGCAAACAGCATCTCAACATATTCCTGTTTTTTTTTAAAAACCCACTAATGCTACAATACATTATCTGAGCACTGAGGAAAATTGGCTCATAAACAGCATCCGGTTCCCAAAAGCAGGTATTTTGGGTGATGTTACATCACTGTGGCGTGAGAGAATGGTGACAAAAAAAAACAACAAGACAGAGACAGACATCCACAAAGGTGGATACAAAACACTGAAGATGCATTGGTTATGAAAGCACATAGGGCTGGAGAACTGGCTAGAGAAAGTCTTTCAGGCGTGCTGTGACTTAAGCGACCTTCTGTTAAGGTCCTGCTAATTGGTGATGATATAACGATACGAAGGACTCCATTTTCAATATGAAATAATAAACGGTCCTGTATGTGAAACATGATGGAACAAACCAGGAAGGGGGAAGAAAGGAATAGAAACTTAAATCTGCCTTCCATTTTTTTTGTGAGTCAGAAATGTTTGCGTATGACCAGAAACAAAACAAAGGCCCACATGACAAAGGTTGCAGGTGGCATCAGGTTTACATTAACCCCAGCATGGTAAACATCATGTACGACAAACCATTTACGCTACTCACAACTGTCGACGACCTGCACATTTGACCTTAAAAACGCAGCTGGCTTGTTGTGTTGTCATTCACTGCTATACTGCACCTTTCGGCTCAAAACATCTCATTTCAACAACCCCCGCTGCTCTCCTCCTCCATATTTTTTTAGTCCAAGTCATGTGACATTCGTAGTCATGTCTATCCACAACCTTCTGTTTTGTGTACTTCCCAATCAGCTCTGACACAGATAATTTTCCATGATGCCACGAACTGTCCTGCATCTTCTCTCTCGTCTTCCTCTGCTTCTTTTCCTCTCCAACCTTCCCACCATCCCGATGAAGAAGCAAGATCTGCCTCATGAGCCACTCATGTGAAAATGGCCCTTTTCTTGACCAGTACTCACCATCATCACCATAAATTTCCCCTTTTGCCGTCAAGCATCATTGTGACAAGAACAGTTTGTGATTCACTGTGCAATGGGTAGCATTAGCTCCTGCCATTCCACATTGATGCAGAATATCTTTAATGTCATCAGTTCATCTTCTCTGGACACTCTCTATGCTTTCATGCTAGATCATTCTGGATGAGGAACCTGTGTTGTTAGTTGCGGATGCATTCTGGCAAGACCAACACAGCACTTGATTTTCTGTTTCTCAAAGGATTTGATGGAGGAGTGGCTGGCTGAAAGGTTAGAATGTGGGAGACCCGGATTCGAATCTTCTGTAAGGCTGGGGAATTTTTCTATCGGGGGGAGGGAGGGCAAATTAAAATTCTCATCTCCATAGTCCTGGCCATGTGGCCGTAAATCTTCAGGCTCAAAAACACCTGCCTACGCCGTAAAAGTGGTATAACAAAGGCAGTAACTAGAAGCTTTTTTTTTTTAAAATAAATCTGATTCATGCTGTTGTTCCCACAGTCTGCTAGTATTATTCTTCCCTGTTTAAGATGGTTGAGCTGGCAGCTTTCCCTTTCACTAGTGATCCCATAGTTGATTGCAGCCATTTTAAACTTCATGCTCCATTCATACACTTGCTGAACTAACAGGCATGCATCACCAGACTCAAACTTCATTCGCCGACAAATTTCTATAGGTTTTACCCCTACACTGATTTTAACAGATAGGAAAGTACTGCTCCTCTTTGGCACAGGCCAAAAGTTGGGAGATCATCTTTCAATTCTCATTATCATTTCACCATGTTTCTCTGCCCTTTGATGACATGTGCTTAACACTCTTGACATCCTTGACAATAATATGACAGGTTACAAAACAACTTTTCAGGTGTTTACGTGAAGCCCCCTTGTGTCTCATGTGAGAAACTGTTGATGCCCACCAACATCTGTAGGTGCCCTGTACATTTAGCAACCAAAGAAACTTCACGGGAAAAAATAAAACAGGAAAATGATGGACTTTGAGGAATGTGATCTCTTCACCGGTCGGAGAACTGAGGTTTTCAACATGATAAACTTTACATGATGATAATGGTCCGCATCAAAACAAGGCAAAAAATGGAGCTGTAATCGTGGCCAAAGATTTAAGACCACCTACTAAATATCTGGCAAACTGCTGTTGTGTAGCGGCTAGACACTGGTCTTATGCCCAAAAGGTCTTGGGTTCAAGCCAGATGTTTTTAAAAAACAGGACCTTGGCTCCCAGGTCGACCCAGCCTAAAACTGGGACCAGGTAACGTCCTGGGAAGTAAAGGCAGCCGGCATGATGTTGACCACATAACCCACTGAGTGTAGACTGATCTATAAGATATAGGTCCAGCACTATATGCTCAATACGTCTAGTGGAGCGGAAAGAGGCCCTTTACTTGTACGATATAATCGTATATTCAACACTATTATGGGTTACTGTATTATGTGTTATTTTAGGGAAGCTACAGTAATTGCCTCCAGCAGGCCCTAAAATAGCAGCTAACGTGCTACTCCATAATGATGTGGAAATATAAACTATTTACCAGATGGTCTCAAACTTTTGGCTACCACTGTAGTACCAAAAAACATGCAGTTTCCATTAAAATATACAATGCACAGATGGTAAGGAAAATATAAAGAAGCAAAATAAAAATCTGATTAGGAAAAGATGTAAGGAAAATTAAAAAAAATAATTTCTCAATCCAGGGCAAAGCATGCTGTACAGGACAGCAACACTAGTATTAGTAGCTCTTAGCTGGGACCCTGGACTCTCACAGTGACCAAGGAAGAACACTAAGTCACAACCACCATTCAGGAATGGTGGGTACTATATTTGTAACCTAAAATGCAGCCCACTTTATGGTAAACCATGATCTGTACAACTGAGAGACAGTTTATAGGAAAAACTAGCAACTAACTTTAAATAATGTGGACACAAACAATACATTAAACAATATAAATGACCATTCTCGCTTTGTGCAAACAGAAAGAATTTGTGCTAAATTTAAATTTGGTGTGGTAAACTTTATGACAATTTTGATTTTCTGGTGACATGATAATGCTTTAGAGAGAATGCGGTTTAATAATTTCAGTGGAAAGAATTAAGTAGTAAGTGCTTTTTTATACACTTATGTAACTTTAGTAATGCACCTGACGAGATACGACAAAATATACCTGGCAAAAATTGTGTAATGTATTCTTTGTGTCCGCAATATTTAAATTCACAACAGGAAAAACATTGTTTTGAAACTACTGACTAAATACCTAGACTAGACAATGATAGTAAAACAATAGAGAAAAGGTAGAAACAAGAGGAAGACAGCAAATGCACAGAGCCGTTTCCAGGCTGATATGGCACACCCAGGATTGAAGAAGCTTTCTTTCCTTGCTATGACTTCATTGGGGTTAGGTTTACTTGGGTCAAACCACAGTACAAAGCAGTCAGTTGTGTCCGGCACAACTTGGAATGAGTGTCCCATGACAGTCTCACAAAAGGTGCTGGCGTCAGGGTAGACTGTGTGAAACGGCCGGCAGGTGGTGCCTTGTGGGCATGTGTTGATTCCTGAGGAAAGTTGCAAACTGTTAGTTCACCCCAAACTGAGCTTACCCCAAACTGAGATTACCTTAAACTGTGAGCCAACTCCAAACTGTGAACTTACTCCAAAATGTGAGCTTACTTCAAACTGTGAGCATACCCCAAACTGTGAGCTTATACCCCAAACTGTGAGCTTACCTTAAACTGTGAGCTTACCCCAAACTGTGAGCATACCCCAAACCGTGACCTTACCCCACATAACAGTCTAGTCTTTGTGATGACATATTCTGCTTGCTGACAAGTCTGAGCATGAACCGACCCCCCTCCTCCACCCTGCATAAGATTTGGGGCCACTTATAGGGAAAACAAGAATAGACACGCCGATTTCCTAACAAGCATGCCGCAACTGTAAACTAATTAGCAGTTTTCTTCAGACTCAGAGAGCATCTGCCTAAAAAGCAAGGAACCCCTATCCCCGCCCTTTTTTTCCAGGAGTCCACTTGCCTGAATGGACTGATATATCAGCCGCAAATCCTTTAGAAAAAAAATTGTAAACTGTTTGGCTTTTTGTGGTTTTAATAGAAAAGTTTACATTCAACAGGTTGCCAGTACACTGCTTTCTGAAAGATCCGTTCCTGATACCACTGTTGAAATCAGCATAAAGCAGTTTAGACTGAAAACAGATGTAAGCATGACTGAATGAACAAATATTAATTCTGTAAGATAAAAAATACAGACTGACTAGATGAACTCGTGTGGCTTGCAGGGCCCATTGCAAGACAAAACAGACTAGACCACCCCCCCCCCCCCCCCCCCCATAAGCATGCTGTAAAAGTCCATTAATTAGGGATACCTTCAATGTCGGAGTGCATCTGCCTGAGAGGCGAGAAACCAAGAGATGCATGCAAATAATCCAGTATATCAAATGGATATGTATACAAAAAAACTCAAGGAGTCACTGTGGCATAGCGGCTGGACGCTCGCACGGGGATTGGAAGGTCATGGGTTTTTTCCTCGGCAAAGCCAGATTATTTTTAAAAAATGACCTTGACTCTTAGGTCGACACCACCTTGAGTGGGTACCGGGTGCCATCCCGGGAAGTAAAGGCGGCCAACGTGATGCTGACCACATCACCCATCTTGTTCCAACTGGTCTATAAAAAACATAGGTCTAGCCCTATACGCCTAGCGGGAGTCGCTGTGGCCGAACGGCTAGACACGTGCCGCGGATCGGAAGGTCGTGGGTTCGCTCCCTGGCGGAGCCGGACTTTTCTTCAAAAATGACCTTGGCTCCCAGGTCGACCCAGCCTTGAGTGGGTACTGGGTTCAGTCCCAGGAAGTACAGACGGCTGGCGTGATGCTGACCACATCACCCATCTTGTGCCGTTGGTCTATAAAAATATAGGTCTAGACCTATATGCCCTATACGCCAAAAGGCGTGGAAAAGGGACCACCATTATAAAAAAAAAAAACTCAATTTCTGGAACAAAACTAACGTCCAAAAGTGGATGAAAAAACAAGAACTTTCCACCAGAGTTTACAGACATGAATATAAAGACTACATGAACAGAAAACAGACTGTAACATGGAACATGTTTTGATTGAAAGAATGGAAAACTGACACTTTAACATACCTGTGGACCAGTTAAAACCTACTGCCCAGTTGTCCAGGCAGGTGAAATCATCCTTGCAGGCATGCCACCAATTGTTACAGACACTCTGACACAGCGGCACATTGGTGAACTTTTCTTTGCGGATTTTCCTGGTATCCTTAAAAATATTTTTACCATGAGTGTGTGCTCAATGAGGCAACATGACAACATAAATTAATGAGTGTGCGGAAAGACACAGTGGGGAACTCACTAATATAATAAAACTTTCCACCAAAGTTTACAGCTGTAAACTCTTGAAAAAAAAGCTACCTAAAAATATCTCTACCAGTACATAACTTACCTCTGACGCTACTTAAATTGCACAATACACAACTTCCTCCTGTCAGGAGGCACCCATCCCTCTCAGAAAAAACTTACATTTGTCAGTACTACACAATTTACCCTTCAGTACACAACTTACCCTTGTTTAAACACAACTAATCCCTGTCAGTAAACAACTTACCCCTGCCAGTAGACAACTTACCTCTGACAGTACACAACTTGCCCCTACCAGTAGACAACTTACCTCTGGCAGTACACAACTTGCCCCTACCAGTAGACAACTTACCTCTGGCAGTACACAACTTGCCCCTGCCTGTACACAACTTACCCCTGTCAGTAAATAAACTTACCTCTCTCAGTACACAACTTACCCATGCTAGTACACAGCTTACCCCTGTCAGTACACAACTGATCGCTTTCAGTCAGTACGAACCGGTATAGAGCCTACTCATCAATACACACATCTGCCCTGCCAGTACAAAGATTCAACCTCTGTTTCACCAGTTTAACCTCATGTCACCGGAAACTTGTATGATAGGATTTCGTGTGTGCCACACACAGAAAAAAATCCATAATCTTACCGAGGATTTGCATAAGAGCTAAGTATTCCTAACCACAGGGCCAGCCTCAGATTTATACATATGAGAGAATATAAGTCGACATGACAGCTGAAAACTTACTTGTACAAGCCAGGGCCCCACATTTGGGGAGCACTCGTAGAAACACAAGTCCATGCGGAAATATTCTCGGCACTGGGGCGTCAGCGTCTGGCAGTGATCCCACTCAAAATTCAACCACCTTGGGCTAACACTCAGTCCTTCAGCTGTTGCGGGCGTACAACACGATCGGCTTGCCCATGGGGAACAATACTGTAATAATGGAACTCAATAAGTCTAAAGCAGGCAAAATTGTTCATAATGGAATACTATGTTAGTCTAAGGCAGACACAACTTTTCACATAAGAAAAAAAAAGGTGAAAACTGTGTTCCAGCTAAGTGATTTTGTGTATTCGTGCGGTATTGTTTGATTTGTGTATGTGCTGATGAAAGCACCATAGCCGCAACGTTCACATTTTTCTTTGTATTTGATTTGTTGTGAAGCTTGCTAATATGCTTGTTTAGTTTTATATCTTTTCTTGATGTGTTAATCTTCCTCTTCTTCGCGTTCACCAGCTGTCCACTCTGACGGAAAGTTCTGGTTGCTCGTCCACTACTGAACTGCAGTCCTGCTACAGAACCTGAGTGTTGAGTGTGCATCAGTTTTACAAATCTCATTCTCTAGAATACAGACTGTTGGTTCCTTGCCTCCCCGGCAGATGCACTCCGACTTCAAAGGAAGCTCCCCAATTAGTCGACTCTTACTACATGCTTTTGGGGAGGCAGTGGATCTATTCTTGTTTTCCCCACAATGGGGCCCCAGAACCCACAAGGGGGTTGTGTTAATCTAAAAGAGATCAAATAGTTCACAAGGGAAATAGCAAGTTAGTCTAGGGAGACAAAACTGTTTAGATGTGAATAAATGTTTGGGGAAGACAAAACGGTTCACAGGGAAATGTGTTAATGTGGGGAGAACAACAGAGGGGAATACAATGTTAGTCACATGGGAAACAAAGGGAATTCAATGATAACCGAGGGAGCTCATTTGGTTCACAGAGGAATAGAATGTAAGTTTGGGGAGACAAAACTTTACAAGGAAATACACATCTGTTTATAGGGGAAAATGTTAGTCGGAGGAGGCTGGTTGGGGGGACAAAATTGTTCAAAGGGAAGACAACTGTTTACAGGGGAATACAAAACTGTTTGCAGAGGAATACATTAGTGTGGGGGAAGACAAAACTGTTTGCAGGAGAATACATTAGTGTGGGGGAAGACAAAACTGTTTACAGGGGAATACATTAGTGTGGGGGAAGACAACTGTTTACAGGGGAATACATTAGTGTGGGGGAAGACAACTGTTTACAGGGGAATACATTAGTGTGGGGGAAGACAAAACTGTTTGCAGAGGAATGCATTAGTGTGGGGGAAGACAAAACTGTTTGCAGGAGAATACATTAATCTAAGGGAAGACAAAACTGTCTTCAGGAGAATAAATTAGTCTGGTGGGAAGACAAAACTGCTTGCAGAGGAATACACTAGTCTGTGTGGAGACAAAACTGTTTACATGAGAATACGTAAGTGCAGGCAGACCAAGCTGTTCACAAGGGAATACATCAATCTGGGGGAGACAAAAGTGTTCACATGGGAATATGTCAATCTGAGGGAGACAAAAGTGTTCACAGGGGAATACGTCAATCTGGGGGAGACAAAAGTGTTCACAGGGAATACAATATTTGTCAGAGAAACAGAAAAATTTTCTGAGGGGAATACAATGTAAGTCTGTCACTGTTCCCTGTGTTATCATTGTTCTTTAAACTGCGACTTGTCCCTGCAATGTCACTGTGTCCCTCACAGTGCTTTGTCCTGCCAATAGGTTTTTCATTGCTTTCTGTACTGTCACTGTGTCTCAACAAGCAGAACTGATCTCTTATATTTCAACTGTGGCTGCTCCTTGCAAAGTCACTGTGCATTTCCTTGTCCTCTGAACTGTCAGTCCTATATACTATCAACATTCTTCGTGATCTATACTGTTACTGTTGTATGTACTGTACTGTCATTGTTCTTCAATGATGTCACTGCTCTTGATATCAATATTATATCCCCATAACATCTCTGATGTTTAGCAGCTAAAACAATAAATGTCACAGCATTAGTCTAGCAATGATACCTTCTTCATCAAGTCCGGCTCTGGCCCTGGCGCTGACTTCTGATTTCTGCCGTCCAAACAAATGTTCATGTAGTCATCAACAGTGTTTATATTGTTGAGGCGAGACCAGACATGTGTCAGTTGCAGCACAACCAACAGGAGCACAATAGGTAGATCCATGGTTAAACTGTCTGCCTTAAAGAAGGGAGATACTGTAGATGGATATGGCTATACATGACATACAGTTATCATTCATTATGTACTCCAACAATATGCAATACAACCAGCATGCAACAATGACAGCTCAAACATATTTTACACACACAATTGTAGTATCAATTTTCTCAGCACCATCCTGTAATGCTTTATTTCTCAGAAAGTTATATTTTAAAGTAGCCAATGTTTGAGTCCAAAGTGGTTAAATTGATAACACTGTAAGTCAGAAGCAGTAAAAGTGATGATTTAGATGTAATGAGTTAATGAGAACACTGTAAGTTGGAAGCAGTAAAAGTGACAATTTAGATGTAAAAGTGATGATTTAGATGTAATGAATTAATGATAACAATGTAAGTCGGAAACAGCCCAAGTGATAATTTAGATGTAATGAGTTAATGTAACTGCTATCAGAGATAGGGGAACCTTCCTCATCTCAGCTTCACTGACTGTGAACTCCGTCAGAAATGTCTTTTTCTTCACCAGCTGTAAACTCCGGAGGAAAGTTCTGGTTGTTCGTCCACTTCTAAACTGTAGTCCTGTTCCAGAACAGATCTAACTTATTATGTATGCAGACTGCTAGTTCCTTGCCTCTCGGGCAGATGCACTCTGACTTTTGAAGGAAGCTCCCAATTAGTCGACTCTTTCTTACAACATGCTTTTGGGCAGGCAGTGGGTATATTCTTGTTTTCCCTTAATAGGGCCTTGGAACCCACATGGAGGAGGTCGACATTTAAAGTACTGCAAAAACACAAAAGACTGAGTCACTTAGGAAATATTATCAACTATTTCTTTTGACTTTTTCATCAAATTAAATTTTTACTGTATAACTAGAAGTAAAACAAAATTCCAAAACATCCAGAGATTGATTTGTTGGCTCTACTGTCAAATTTGGCCGGTAAGCTGGACTGCTTCAGCCGGCTTAGCGGGAGTTATGTCCCCGTGGCTGCACTCAAAACAAGTCGCGGAAAAAATCACGAATCAAATGGCATACTTACCTATCATCATCCGGGTGCGTGTAGGGTTGCGTATGGTGTCTATCATCATCCTACGGTTGCGTGTAGGGCTGCTTATTGCGTGTAGGTTGGTTGTGTGTGTAAGATGAGGGGTAGGGTTAGGGGTTAGGGTTTAGGGTTTTAGGGTTTAGGCTTAGCGTTTAGGGTTAGGGGTAGGGTTAGGTGTAGCGTTAGATGTGACAATTGTGACGCCGTAGTTCCCTATAATCGCGCAGTCGCATGCACGCGCAAACAGTCGACGGACGGTGGATGCTACTGACACGGACAATTCGCCACTGATTGGGCACCAGCCGCCCGCTATTGGCATCGTATTTGGCAGAGTTTCACTGGCGCCGCTCCCACAAACGTCAGATTGTCAGCCACTATTTCGACCTCCTACGTGAAAATTTTCACATCGAACCATACCCCTAACCCTAACCGTAAACCCTACCCCTCATCTTACGCAAACAACCAACCTACACACAACAAGCAGCAGCCCTACACGCAACCGTAGGACGATGATAGACACCCTACGCAACCCTACACGCACCCGGATGATGATAGGTAAGTATGTCATTTGATTCGTGACTTTTTCCGCGACTTGTTTTGAGTTTGGCGACGGGACATAACTCCCACTAAGCCGGCCGAAGCAGTCCAGCTTACCGGCCAAATTTGACAGTAGAGCCGATTTGTTTGGCATATGCAAGGTTTAAAGCAGATCAGTAAGTAAACAGTCTTAGAGTCTACATACTAATTTAAATTTATGTGAATAGTTAGACAATTTCTCACCTCACAGTCAGACTGTCACTAAACTAAACGTCTATATTACTATAAGTATCAGTATCTTAATGATAATCTAACTAAATAAAGCAACCGCCAGTAAACTGTAGTTTACTGTAAACAGCAGACATCAATGCAGGAAATAAGAAGAATAATAACCACCGCGATACAATTTAAGAACTATATCTATGTGTCTCCCCACCTCTTCTGTTCCAGTATCAGCCCCTGTGTGTGTGAGGTGTCCAAGTGCCCAGACTTCAGTCACCAACTTGTTGTTAATGTTATTGAAGAGACAGCCATGCCCGCTCGCCAGCAGTAGAACTCTCCTTCGTCCCGCCAAACATCCGGCGGCTATTCGCACGGCCACAGTCGTGTGTACCGGCAGGTGTTTCAAACCCTTGTAGCTGGCACTTTTCCGTGTTCCCAGGCAGTTGTATTATACTCTAGGAAGGCAGTCGGCGTTAGTGGCTTAGTCGTTGCGAACGCGCTTTGTAATGCTGGGTTGTCGGGTTCGATCCCAGCTGCGGAGGTTTGTCTTGCGTTGGTTTTGACAGTGGTATCGAGAGCTGTCCGTTCAGTAGCACAATGGCAAAATTTACCGAACGTAAAATTTGCCTAGAAAACCCACAACAAAAAAAAAAAAAACAAAAAAAAAAAAAAAGACCTGTTAAGGATACGCAACTAACTTTTAGGAAGGCAATGTGGGGATGAAACCTCTTATTGCCCCCCCCCCCCCCCCCCCCCCCCCAATGCTATTACCACCTTGATCTGCCAGCTTTGGTCACACAATGACCATCTTTAGTTACTATGACAACCATGGTCTTACTCTGCACCTACGTCCTGCTACTGGATTAGGATCGACATAGGCGGAAGCTAGAGATGGACATATTGGGCAACTTTTCCTCACTTAAATCTAAGTCGTTGGACAAGTCAATCTTTCCTTGCTCAAACTGGGACTGAGTGGTCTTGAGGCATGGTGTCCGCCTCGAGTGCTGGAGGTCCCTTGTTCAGGCTCTGGTGAAGGCTGCGATTTTTTCACGTGGACTTTTCCCCTGGTGTCGGGTGGCAAGATCGGACGCCCGTGTGTATTGCTGCGCACGTAAAAAAATCCCTTGGCAGTTGGAAATCGAAAAGAGTAGCCTAACGGCAAAATCTGACGTTAAAATCTACCCAAAGTATTTCAGGATCCTGGCCGGTGCTACGGAGTTCGAGCACTGCGTTGAAATGATTTTTCAGACTCAGGGTTGAGTTAAAAAAGTATAACGGAGCACACATGGGTTACTACCCTTGTGCCCTGGTGCTGATCCTTTGTTCAAACCAAATGCTTGCTCAGACTGGACCATCCTTCACCTTTGAACTCACATACATAATTTTAGACAAAGCATTACGGTCTACTGTGTTTGTTATTCGACTTATGTTTCTTTCATATACATTTATGTAACTTTTAGTGCCATTTCAATGGTTTGAGATGAATTATGTCCTTATTCCACAGTTGTGGATTTTAAGCTGTACGATAGTCATGGCCAGTGAAGATACCTTCGTTTGAGGGTGCTTATCTGACCATTTTCTAAATGCACATGTTTCCATAGTGAGGCGCACACGCAATCTTGAGGGTACAGGTTAGATTCCGGCACGGTAACTACAAATTTATATTTTTATGTTGTCTAGTTTGTTCTTCTATCTTTCTACTTGCAAGCTCTTTGTTGAGAGTAAGTAGAGTAAAAGTAAAGGTCCCTTTTGGCAAATTGGGAATATAGGGCTAGACCTATATTTTTATAGACCAATCAGCACTTGATGAGTGATGTGGTCAGCATCACGCCGGCTGCCTTTACTTTCCAGGACGGCACATGGTACCCCCTCAAGGCTGGGCTGAACTGGGGAGTTACGGTCATTTTTGAAAAAAATCTTTTTTGATGGTAGCTTATTCAAAGAGGGAAAGGTTCAAGGTAGGCGAGCAAAAGGCAGACAGCGTTACAAGTGGGAGGATAACATCAAGAGATGGACGAACAGCAGTATGAGTGAGTGTACACTAAGGGCAAGAGACCGGGCTTGTTGGAGATTCATTGCAGCCAACCTTCATTGTGGAGACGGCACCTGGTTGATTGATTGATATTCAAAACAAAAAATCCAGCTACTTCGCGTAACTTCACATAGAATAAGGAGCGACATCAGCCTACCTTATTAATGCTGCCGTGCCTGTGTCTGTAATAACTTGAATAACGGTAAGTCAGTGCTTGGTGATAGAGTTCAGGCGTAATGGGTATATAGGGATAGACGTATATTTTATAGACCAACAGGGCCGTCTTAACTCATAGGCTCACTGACAGTGGCCCCCACAAACATAGGGGTCCTATGCTAATCTGTGTATGTCAAGTGACTTGTCATCAATAAAAATGTCATTTCTGTTAGAGTTTGTGGTACGAGCACCAGTACACTGGTTTGCCATAATGCTGTCAATACGTCTCTGGGTAAATACCAGATTTACTACACTGCTTGGGCTATTCTTTCCACATATTTACACATCAACATTGTAAATCATATCGAGCGCTCAGGTTTGAAGTGTAAAGTAGCAACTACTTTAATATAACGGTTCTGGGGATTTTTCTTCTTCTTCTGGGTTCGTCCAAAGTAGGTCGTGATGTAGTTAATAGCTAGACTATGATATCTGCGCTTTTCGACCCAAAATATCATATTTCATCAAATCTCTAATAAGTCACCTTTTACGACATGCTTGCTAAGAGGCTGTTGGTCTGTTCTATTTTGTTCTCTTCAAAACGAGGCCCCGGAACCCACACGAGGAGTATCTGCAGGTAACATCAAAAGAATAGTATGTGTATATTACGTGTGTATGTGTGTGAGTTTGTACGTGTGTTTCTTCTTCTTCTTCTTCTTGTTCACCGGCTGTGAATTCCGGCGGTAAGTCGCGGTTGTTCGTCCAAATGGACTTTTGGCTTTTACCTTGACCTGAGTTTTGCGTGTACGTCCGTTTTACTGTCTTATTTGTTTGCAGTCCTCGTTCCCTGCCTCACCGGCAGATGTACTGCGACTTCGAGGGAAGAGTACGTGTGTTTGCGTGAGTGTGTAAGTGCGCGAGTGTGTATGTGCGTATGTGTGTGTGAGTATGTGAGTGTGCGACTGTGTGAGTGGGTATGTGTATGATAAGTATGTGAGTGTGTGAATGTGAGAGTGTAT